GGGTAAGCAGCTAGCATTATGTCAATGAGATGTCCCCAGAAGGACGTGTGTGTGTGTGTGTGTGTGTGTGTGTGTGTGTGTGTGTGTGTGTGTGTACACATGACCCTGATTGTTTGCTTTTCCTTGTTTTTCTGTTAAAATGAATCCCATCTGTTTTGGTGTGATGGCTCAGACTTTGTGGAGGCGACCCGGAACATCTTCCAGGAGAACCTGGAGGAGCTGGGCCTGGAGACGGGTCCCTTCACTTTCTCCTACCATGAAGCAGCTAGTCTGATGGATACCTCAGCCTTCCACTCACCTGTAAGCAGCGCTCACCACCTCTCATATAGACACAAAACAGCTGGCTGTTACCCAGCCTGACACCAAATACTGTTTCTCACCAGCCTCTACAGCAATAAGCAACACAGTTTAAAAGAACGAGTTTTTAAAAAGAGCAGCAAAAAAGGCAGAAATAGCATCAAATCTAAGTTTTAAAACAAACTCCAGTCACAATCTAATATTTTAAAATTTCCACCCAGAAATGAAGGTTAACTGTGTGTGTGTGTGTGTGTGTGTGTGTGTGTGTGTGTGCGTGTGTGCAGACATATGAATCCGAGTGCAGCTACAGCAGTGAGGAGATGGAGCAGTTTCAGACGGAGGTGAAGCAGCTGCAGACGCAGATGAAACAGCTCAAGGTGAAAACACACCTTTGTTTTTCCCTCTCTGGTTTTGAGGACTTCCAGCTGTTATGTTTTCTCTTAGTATGTTTACTTTTCTTTGACTGTCTCCCTCTGTCCCACAGTGTCTTTTATCATGTCTACTGTCTTGTTTCGTATCTGTCCTGTGGTCTTTACTAAGAATGAAGTCCAACACACTCAGGCTAATTGACCTTAGCTGGCTCGACAAACCCGAAGCCCCAGTTAGAGGTGATGAGTATCATGATGATGGTCAGGAACTGCCTCTGTTAAACTGGGCATCACACTCACATAAAATGATCCCCATGATTGGCACCTACACGTGTCACCATGTATCGGTGACAAAATGATTCAAACTTACAGAGAAATGTATCACTGTAAGT